CAGTTATATGTTTTAGGATTGTTGTTGCTGTGTGTTTAAAAATATATGTGTTGTGTGTGTATGTGTATGCATGTTTATATGTATATTCTCTGTCTGTCTGTCTGTCTGTCTGTCTGTCTCTCTATCTGTCTGTCTATCTCACTATATAATATCATGTTCATGAAAGACAATATATTTTCTCTCATGCATCCCAGGAAAGGAGAATGGCTTAAAGGTTAGATGAAATGCAGTTTTTAAAGGTATATGACTGAGATGCAGTATGTACAGGGAAAGTTACACTGGGATGAAAAGTAAATGAAGACCATTGTGAAATAATCCCAGAAAGGCATTTAGGAGCCAGATTTCACAGACTATTAAATGAATCTACTATTTGCTCATCCATAAGAGCTATGTAAGTAGCCCACCATTTTTTTTTCTTACACATAGCCATGGCTTCCAGAAAACAAGGCACACTCTGTCATAACCTGGCATGTAGGATAGATTGTCACTGGTACCTGATCCTCAGTGCTTGGGTCTTCTCAGCGACATTAAAATGTAAACCAAGGTTATCTGTTTTAATTAGGAACTATTCAAATTGCAAGAGTGTAGGTTAAAGACCATGGCCAGGGGGTGGTTTATTAGATTTAGAGATTACTGACCTTGTGCAAATTAGGTCTATGCTATTTGAAATTATGTAACAGTAATTTTTGCAGAACTGCCATCATCTCCATATAAGGGAAGAGTAGGACTCATTTGTGAGAAAATTAATGTAAACAGTCAGTAGTTTCATTCCAACTCATTGTAGGTCCGTGGATATGGAAAAGGGTTGATGTGAATTAAAAATAAATCAGTTCTTTTAGAGATATATTTATCTCTTTTCCAACTTTCTCCCAAAGTCCTCATCAGTCCAACTTTAGGTACCAAAGGAAAAGAAAATATCTTTCACATGACATTGAATTGTTGAGTATGAGAAGGGAAGCACACTTCTTAGCATCTCTCCAGAGAGAAAAGATTTTTTTTCAAATTTAGAAATAATAGTTAATTTTATTCAGTACTTTAAGGTTTGCAAAGTCCTTTAGATATATTATCTCATTTTTATCCTCAAAACAATACTCAGAGGTAAGATCCTATTATAATCCCCATTTTAAAACTGTGCAAATTGAAGAAGGTAGAGGTCAAGTGACCTGCCCAGCCTCACATAGCTAATAAGTGTCTGAGCCTATATTTGAATGCCAGTCTTCTTGACTCAAGGTCCAGTTTTCTATCCTCTGTACCATTTAGTTACCTATACATATGAAGCTGCATTTGTTTAAAAATAAAGTTAATAAACATAAATGAAAAAACAAGCAGAATCAGAAGAACAATATAGAGTATACATTCCTCCATTAGAATGTGAACTCTTTCAGAGAGGGCTATTTTTGCTTTCTTTGTATTTTCAGGGCTTAGAAGAGTGCCTTATACGTTCTCAGTAGAAGTATGTATTTAATATTGATTGATTTGAGTATATAAAATAACTACAATAAGGAAATTCAGAAAATTCTAAAAAGAGACAGCTTATTAATTGCAATGATCAATCTTTGTCATAGAGAAGAAATGATTAAACATATTTCTCTCCTTCTACTCTTCTTGATATAGAAGTTGGGTAGTACAGGGTCCAGATGGTTTCCTCTTTCTAGGTATATAGGACTTTTTGCTCCAAGCATCAAGACTTTGCAATTAGTAGATATGTAACAGGGTAGAAGGAATCAAAATGACCTTTCAGGTCATCAGCAGCACTATGGTCACATCACAATCCAAAGGAAGTGTCTGCTGGCCCCATGTGGAGCTCTGTCTTTTCATTGTAAAGGAAATTGGCCATATCAAAAATAAATAGAAGTTAAAGAAACATTCAATCCAAACTCCCTCACTGTATATTTAAGCAGTTATTTCAGGGGGTAGTTCATGTCTATATAGCTATATTAATAAAGATCTAAAGTAAAGTAAAAAATAGTTACCATTAGCTGACTTTAGCTCAAATTCCTAATCTTTTCTTTCCATTTTTGCTCATCTCCAAAAAGCAAATGGCCATGTGGATTCTCTTGATCTCTTTTTTTTTCAAGTATTTACTAGGAAGAGTGTTGAGTACTTGACTGGAATCATGAGCATTAAGATAGAAAGATAGATTCTGCTGACTAGTTCTATGATATCTGGATCAATCAGCTCTGATTTAGAAAGAAAATAAAAAAGACCAGTAGTAGTAAAAGAGGAGGCCAGAGATAGGCTTCTACACAGCAGGTACAGGTGATTTCATTTCTCTTTAAAAGATGGATTTGCTGAATGTAAATTGGCTTGGGTGAGGAGGAATGGGATGGGACAAGTGTGAAAACTCTTCCCTCAAGGCAGCATTTCCATCCCCATAAAACAATAACTCACCAGAACAAATTCCTCATAGAGGCATATTCATTTACAACCTGTTTTAAATATTTCAGCATGTAACAGTGAAACTATTTTTCACAATGAATAATTCAGTTCAGGCCTACTCTTGGGGTAGAGGTGGGAGAGGAGAGGCAATAACTTCTGTGTTTTGTCAAAGGAAAAAAAATATGCTCTGATATTCTGCTAGGAAGTATTTTTACTGGTGTCATTGCTCCAATGACAATGAGCAAAGAGATTGAACTTGGGAGTATTGGGGGCCAGAAAGAGGGGGAAAAAGTTTGGGAACAAAGCTGTTCCACAAAGCTGCCTGGTGAACTAATGGAATTAGATTATCTTTGAATTTTCTCCACCCCAACTCCAAGTAGTCACTAATGCCTTTCTTTGCTCTTTTGCTGTTTGCAAAGAGGTTCCTTAAAGCCTGAATTGATATAATTATTGGCTTGGATTGTTCAAGATCTAGGCCAGATGGCTATGGGTTTCTAAAGTCCCAGTTGCTTGCGTTAGCTTTCGAAGTTTGCCTATAGGGTTTGGGGATCAGCACTTTGAAAAGGCTGCAAACTTGTAAAACAGTATTATTCATGGGGGCAGAATGTTCATCGGCGTGACCCAGGACTAAATACATTCATTATCGGCATTTCTATTCTGCACAATTTGCCACACGGCACTGGTTTCTGAAAAAAGGAGACAATGGCTTATAAAATGCTTTTGAATGCTTAAAAAGCAGGAGAGTTCACACTGAGACTCTTCTGCTGGCTTTCTTACTCTTCTGCTTGCTTTCTTTCTTTCTTTCTTTCTTTTTCTTTCAAATAGCCTCTTAGTGACTTTGGCTGAGCTCTGCTGAGGGTAAGCAAAGTAGGGGAAAAAAATCACAGATTTACTTTTTTTTTTTAACATTTCAAGGAAGGTAGAGAGAGAGAAAAATGAAGAAAAAGGGGACTGGGAGATGATGTCAAAAAGCAAATAAGTGAGTGGATGAAATCAACAAAGGCATATAATGCAAAAGAGTAATGAAAGAGCAGCAATCTTGTTTTTCTGATGATAAATTTAAAAGATATTTCAGAACAGAAAGCACATCATAAATAATCATATTTGAAATAAGAATAATAGATCAGTTACTGTGACCTGGATAGACTGGGAGTTTTACATCAGGTTCCAAAAAAATTAGATGTGCGAGGAATTAAATTCTGGCTTGGGCTTTTAATTGTTTCCTACCAATATTTGTTTCAGGATGTTTTTTTTTTGGTTGGTGTGTGTTTTAAAAATATATGTATTATTTGTGTGTGTTTTTGTACATATATGTATGCATGTCTATGTGTTTATCTATCTATCTATCTATCTATCTATCTATCTATCTATCTATCTATCTATCTATC